TAATAGAGAACTAAACTAGTAGTTAATTATCTATAATACTAATTATAAATATAGGTTTATAAGAAAATCTTAGTTTTATATTAAAATTTAAATATTACTACTTTAACTAGTAAAAAATGTTAGTACCTAGCTAGTTTCGTTTTATAGGGTGGACTTCTCTATAAAATAATTATTATTACCTACTACTAATATTTAAAATAACTATTAGGGCTAGTAACTACTAGCTATATATGACTACTTAAAGCTACTTTATATTAACAAACTACTAATGTTTTTATTTATTAGTTTGTCTACTGCCCTACCTTATAAAGTATGTGTGCACTACTACTAGCCACCTAAACCTTCTGAATAATAACTAAAACATTATCTTAATAAAAGGGAAACTAATACTAGAAAGGAACATTGTAAATAAAAGAATTTTCCTATAAATAGAGGTATTTATTCCTTACTAGATTATTTCTTTCCTAGGAGAGCAAGGAGCGGATCTTACATCTATTGTATGTACCCTTTCGGTTCTCTAAACACCTGCGCAGTGTCGCTGCTTTAACCATTCGTAAGCTCGATCCACTTTTACAACGCGACGTATCTTGACGCTTGAGTTAAGCCGGGTTGGGTTTGTGGTCCCTTGGGCGCGGCGCGGGCCGCTGTGGGGATGGATCCAAGCCCGGCTGCTGTAGTAACTGTCTCTCTTAATAACAAATGTGATAATGATCAAGCCTCCTGCGGCTGGTCACTTTTTGGCGCAACGGTAAAGTGCTCCGGACAAGGGCTCAGGAGCCAGGACCGGAGCCTTTCCATGCACCGTGGGATCCAGCGACGCCTGGCAACGGGTCGGCAGCGATACTGCATCATCATGTTGCTGCCCGCCATTCAGTTGCGCGCCCCATTTTACTGCCACACTCATGTTATTGTTGCGGCTTTGTTATGATCCAGTAGCCAATAGAAGTGCGCCTTGAAAGCACCATGGCCCCGATGACATGTGGCCAAGTCAACAGTCTTTCCTTTGGCATCATCCGTTCTTGTGCTCCCTACACTAGCATTCTCCTGGACTTACGCCAGCTCCTACAACCTCACACTTACAACGCGGATCAAATGCCAAAACTTCGCCTAACTATCCCATGACGTAGCTCACATCTATCACTCAGGTGTCTCCAAAAGGGCACACGTCCTCGCCAGAATCGCATACCAGTGGGTGGAAGCTGCGCGCCATTGGTACTATATATCACTTGATCTGCTCTCCAGAGAGCCAGGTAGGGGAGAGTTGAAGGCACCCTGCGCTTTTGTCCGACTATACCGCGTGGCTGTCATCGACAGCAGCCACCACCGCTCCCCATGGTCCATGCCAACGATGTCATCGCCATCATTGTCATTCTCCATGTAACAATCGGTGTCCTCCTCAGCATCTGTCTTTGCTGCATCAGGCGTAACATCCCACCGCCAGACACCACCATCTCTACTGATGACACATCATCAACATCCATCTATATCACGAAAGTCCCGACGCCAGCTCCAGTTGCAGTTCCAGTTCCAGTTCCAGTTCCAGTCCCAGCTACAGATCCGCCTCCACCTGCACCTCCGCAGCCGTCGCCACCCAACGACGGCTCCTTCAACCTCCCATCCCATCACAGCGGGGCCTTTAACTTACCGCGTCGAACGGGCGGCGGAGCAAGTGCACATCACAAAATCACACGATGAACGTGGCAGTCGCAGAGCTGGTTTGATGTATCGACAAGGACACGATAACCCAAGATGATGGAGCAAGAAGTGTTGTTACATGGAGGGACAATCAAGAGAAGGACTTGCAAGTCAGGAAACTGGTGGATGTCGGTCACGGTAGTCCGAGTGTGCTGCTGTGCAGTGCGGACTAATTGCCACACCCACCAGTAAAATATTGCCATGAACACTTATGCGAGCATTAACGCAATAGACAACTATATTTATGACTGCATTCGTTACGGAAAGAAAACAAAGTAGTAATTCATCTGCTTAATGGTACTCGTCACCGAACCCATCTTAAGCCAGCCTACCCGGGGACTGGCCCAATCTTCACTTGAAGCTGACCTTCTTCGCTGGGCATCTCCTTTCATCCGGTGTATTTCTGCCATACACTCCGCAAAAGGTCAGGCTGGTCGCCTCCAGAATCATCTCAATCTCGAAACTAGCCTTATAAAGCCTGGTTCTGCCTCCATTATGAGGGATGGTCGGGATCGTCAGACCCTTGAGGTCAAGACTGAAATCCGTAATCTTCCATGCGTCTGTACGTTATAGGGCGGCAAATTTATGTTAGTACACGTTGGAGTTAAGGGCATAGAGCTTACGCAAAGAGTGCGGGGGGCATACTGGAGTCGTTTTTATACTCGGGCGGATTGCGCTTCTCGCAGACATAAATATGGATATTGATTAAACAGACCTCATGCGCTTGTTTGCCAGGGATGACCTTGGCAATCTTCTCGTAAGGGTAGTATCGTGGCTCGCCATTGGGAATATCATCATTCTGGTTTTCAAATAGTGAGCGTTCTGGAACCTTGACAAGTTAATAGAGACAGAATTTTACGCACCATCTTGGCAAACCAATGCATCCGCGCGACTTTGGCTCCGTCGTCTCGCATCTCTCTACTCATTATGTTAGCTTTGTGGGAGGCTCCCAATCCATCAGCGAGCGCGCCATACAACTTCTCTATGGGGTCACCGTCCTTGCAGTCATCATAGCCCCAAGTGCCGTAGTGGCGGCCAGCTTTCCTGGAGACGACTCCCACTCTACGGGTCGACATGAAGTTGAAAGCTCCATCTGGAGCGACAGTGGCTCTCCCCAGACCGTACAGGCTAGCAGTAACCGCGCCCTTCACAATAGCTGTTGCACTGTTTTGTTTGCATCATGGTCAGGCCAGTGCTGCGCGATAACGTAGAGACCCAACTTACCTATCCTCAAACTCAGATACCTTGATACGTTGACGGACCACGCATTCCAGTTTTTGCAGCTTCCTCTTCAGATATGGGTTCCGGCCGAATCCCCCAGCAAGCACAACCTCCTTCACACTGCCTTCCGTGTGGTTAATTTGATCACGGACCAGTGCTTGGATTTTGTTGATGACAATGTCAAATACATTGACACGTAGTTCTTCGTCTGTCAGATCAAGGAAATTCTTCTTAATCCCATGTCGCTCGCTTGGCTTGAGACCCTGTATCCGAATAAAATGCTGTTCTTCATTCCGACCGGAGAAGTTGGGTTTGATTCTCGTCTCGAAAGCTCCCAAAGCGTCAATCATGAAGTCTGGGTCCCAGCAGGGGTAGTCTCGGAGCTTCTCCTCAAGGTATTTCTCAAAGATGCGGTTTAGAAAAATGCTGCCGCAAAGCCCACCCGAGCCCGCTCCTGCCCCGACCAGTTGGCATTGACGCCGATCTTTCGACAGAAACTTGACCCGGAAGGAGGTGAGGTCAACAGTTCTATTGGTGAGCCAAGCAAACCAGGTCAGCCATTTCGTTCTTCGCTTCTCCAAGACGCCGAAATGGCATCCATCTTTGAGAAATGTACTTACCCGCCCCCGGCATCGCATACAACAAATGCATCGCCTTCTTCTATACTGGGCATGTTCTTAATGGCCCATATCCCGGCTGCTTCGGACTCGGGGATCAGCGTGATTTCACCACCCTTGCCCATATCAGCCCTCTCGGCGCAGGCTCGGGTCTTCTCTTGCTCGGAATAGTCCCACAGAGCTGGTACAGTGATGATGTAGTGCCTCTCCATGGCTGCAACCTGCTCAACGGCGCCAAGCTTCTTATCTACAGCTTGCTTGATACCGACCAGATAGTCCCTGACAAGCTTCTCGCAGTCTTCTCCCTTGACGGGCTGCTTGGCCGTCTTGCTGTCATACAGCTTTATGAGCTCCGACTCCCGGGCTCGTCGTTCTTCAAAATCGTCGCAAAGACCCAGCTTGAACCATTCATGGATCCGTTCACCTTGCTGGGCATATCTCTGGGCGCGGTATCCCCAAACATATGGGCCACTCATTTCGCCATTGTCGTAGCGGAGTACGCTGATAAGTGATGCGAATCATATTAGTCGTCACAATGGCCGTGGATACGCAGAGTAGACGACGACTTACGTTGGCACTTGGCCCTCGGTATTGTCTCCTCCTTCACCCCAGCTCGTCAACAGATGCGGCCCAACAGCCTATAGAGCGAATACGGTGTAAGCAGACGCTGTTGAGATGTGAGAAGTCCGATTCTTACCTCGGCAGTATGGGCATAGGCTACTGAAGTGAATGTCGTTCCTGCGGCGCCAGAAATTTGGTTACATCTAGTACAATGTGCACACCGGGCCTGGAAACAAAGCTGAACACATACCAAAATCGACGGCTACAAGAACCTTGCCGCGACCCGCAGCAGCGCTGACCGTACCTGGGTTCTTTGGTATACTGATGGACTTGAATGACAACATTGACATTTTGATAAGCCTCTAAACCGACCAAGTCGTTGATGTTTCCGTCAAACAGGAGGCTAAGGGAACGGGAGCAGGCTGAATTCGACAGAAGACATATCTCCCGCGTAACTGGGCGCCACACGGAACGGAAAGACAGCCAAATTAAAATGCGAACCACTTCGGCGGCCTTGCGCAAGAAGTTGTCGTACAGTAGCTACACAAGGTAGGGCAGGCCGCCTATGAGAAACCGGCTTCCGACAGCCACGACGCAATTGGACCCACGCGACCACGTCAGTCGGGCATCAACAATTCTCTTTCAGCTTGCCATCTCATTCAGCCTTTTCCATTGTTGAAGATCTTACCCAATATTTCTCTGCGCTGCTACCCTCTGCGAGCTTGTGCAGACACGTGGTGGGCCTTCGCATCGAGGTTGAAACCCCAACTTGCATTTCTGCGGCCCGACTGTGTTCACTCCCAGGGCACAAAAATATACCTTTTCACTGAGCGGAGTCTGCTCAAACAGATATTATTCTCTATCAAAACTCGACCAGGGAGGCTACATGGTAGCTTTCTGGGCATGATGTCTAATCCTGATGACTGGCCGGAGGAGGCCAAGAATGAAATCTCTAGGCTCGAGTTCGACAATGATGCGCTTCAGCAGGAGGTGGGTCGCTCTGTAGCCAAGATCATTTCACTCCAGGGTGAAGACGACCAGATTACAGATGGCGATTTGAAGAGAAGATTTGAAGAGATTTGCGCCAATATCGAGGACTGGACCACAGCCATCGAGGTGGAATTTCTCCAGCAGGGGCGGGAGTTCCGCCAGGTGTTCCACCAAATACTTGATGATGACCCTGGACGGAGGTTTCTGTATCGTTGGGGATTGCTGGAACCCCTCCATGATAGTGCTCAAGAAATTGGAAAGCTGTACTGGCTAGGTCAGCTCGACACATGTATCAAGGTTGTCTTGTCACGCGTCATATGGCAATCCTTGTACGCTGAAGTCTTCGTCAAAACATACCCTCCTGGAACAAGAGACGACGCTGCCAACGGACTGCATTACATCACCGACGCAATCAGGCACGGCGCGGACGGAAGACTCAATGAAGGTCAGTCGCAAGAGAACCAGCCCATTTACAAAGCAGGCTGACCCAACTGACGATTAATCGGAGCAACAGAATCAGTTTTTCAAGCGAACAAATGGAGATCAAGCGCCTTTTCTAGTCTCGCGACGACAAAATGGTTCAGGTCTACACGCAAGACGCAATTGGCAAAGATCTTGAATTCACTGCGGGATACACTAAGCAGACCTCCACTGTCCATGGACGAAAGCACATTCAGGAAAAACGCCGTTAAGCTCGAAGACGACATCATTCTGGCGGCTGCAACCCTTAAACAAGAGATGGCTTGCTCCACGCTCGAATACACTATTCTCGATCCTCGCGACTGGCTCTCTCCTCAAACCCAACTATACGAGTCGACGCTGAAAGACATTGACGGTTGGAGAGTTGTAAACCAGAGCCAGTCCGTCGGTGGCATATTTCTATGCTTATTCCCAGGTGTTTACAAAAGGGCTGCAAAGGACGGGGAGCTGTCCCCGTTGGTGAAGCCTGTTCTCATCACTTACCACCAAGATGCCGCAAAGAGTCTCCAAGCTTTCCAATCGCAAGCGGCACTGTCGACGTTAAAACAACAACGTAGGAAGTCTGAGTCAAACCTCTACCTCCATCGATCCGATGGAAAGCCAGGTGAAGAGGCAGTGCGCTCTGTAAGGCGAAGCAAGCAGAGTGAGCGAGCGGGAGGGTCTAGCTCTGTGTTGGCAAACTTCCTGCCCAATTCAATGAAGAACATTAGAAGCCGCCAGCCAGAGGACGGATCAAGATCGAATGCCAGATCTCCCATCGATTCACAAAGTGGTGGCAGGGCGTTGGAAGACAAGACCAAGCAACGAAAGGCTCAAGGGCCTACACAGTCAGGAGAGAAGCGAGCACACAAAAAGTCCTCGCGACAAGCGGCCTCAGCAACATCTTCCACAGCTACTTCGGCCGATTCGCAGAAACGATCGCTGGCCAGTATGAGGCGTGAGGATTCAGGTCGTAACTCGACAAGCGACGTGGATGTCATGCCCAAGAATATTGCGGCCCAAGACGTACCCGCCACGGTAGCGAGGGGCACTTGGCCACCGCAGAGGAGCGATAGCAAGGAGGAGTCAGGCGAGGACCATTCAAACTTGGACGACGCAAGCTCAACTGATACTACTTCTGCAAGGTGCAGACTGCCAGGCAGCCCTCACGACCTGCGCATCGACGTTGATGTTGAGGGCCGTCCAGCGGCATCATACACGCTCCAAACAGCCTTGTCTGGGAGAGGTTCAGCTTCCATAGCTTATTCAGAGTGGGATGACCCGTACTATACTCCACGTATAACACGAGATTAGAACTAGTGAAATTTAATTTTATATATAAACTACTATAGTACTTTTTAAAATACCTATTAAATAAGTCGTCTATTACTATTGTTTATACTATTAAAACTTAGTAATAAGTTTTTTAAAAACTATATATACTTAGATTTTATTACTAATAAATTTAAAGTTAGTATATTTAAAAGAATTAAATAATATATATTTATATATTTATTTATTATAAATAATTAAAGGTTAGTCTATATAGTTGTTCTACTACTAATATACTAATACTAATATACTAATGCTAATATACTAATAAACTATACTAGAGTTTATTAAAAATTTATATAGTCTTAAGAAAGAACTTAAGTATAATAGTAGCTTAATCCTAATCTATAGTTAGTCTACTTCTTAGGTAGAGAGTTAGTTTAAATATATAGAGTGTATATAAGTAGTTATTAAAGTATAAGTTATATTAAGAGATATCTCCTAATTGTGAAAGGCCGCTAGTAAGTTGATTCAACTATCTAGTTCCTATG